AAACAACCACTCACACTCACATTGACTCCTAAGGGCAATTTCCCCCATCTCCAATCAACCTAACATGCAGGTTTTTGGACTGTGGGAGGAAGCCGGAGAACCCGGAGAAAACCCACGCAGACACAGGGAGAACATGCAAACTCCACCCAGAAAGGTCCTGGTTCCCCCGGGATTCGAACCCAGAACCCTCTTGCTGGGAGGCGACAGTGCTAACCACCACACCACCGTGCCGCCCCTAAGATTCATCATAAACAACTAAACTACTAAAAATTACTTAATATAAAACAGGATTAAATGTTCAAATTAAAAGATTTGACAATTTCATGGATGGAGAGACAAAAGGCTTTAAATATAAGCATTACCACAGAAAAATGATCAGAGGTAGGTGTTACAACTAAAAAGTAAGCTGGCACTGGGTATAAAAAGAGCACCATAGCGAGGTAATGATGAAAAAAAGTTCAGCAATCTCAAACTGCATCCGGTAATTATTTTTCAGTGTATATTGTGTCCTCCTCAAACCACTGTTATGCAGACAGAAACAAATTGAAAAACGGATTCTGTGGTCAGATTATTCGAAATTCACTCTGGGAATCATGCCAGATACCACATACAGACCAAATAAATCCAGGGGGCCATACATCTTGTTAACGCAAGAATCTTCAATAATCTGCATCTCTGCCAAATTTGGGGCGTTACTGAATTGTTTTTTTCACTCCTGGAAAGGCGCCATCATTGCAGACAGGTATTTTTTAACAACAGCCATTGAAATATCATGGTTTTGTACAGGAAAAAGAGTCATGTTGCTGGACTGAACTGAATGCAGTCCAGGCCGTTCACCAAAATGTTACCATCATAAAACAATGCACAACAATGTTCCAGCACGGTTTCTGAAGTATTTTGGATCTGAGACTTTTTGCATCATTCAATGGTAAAAGCTTTGCTCAAACCCCTGTTGTACACATTCAGATATACCTGATAACAGCCAGCAGAAGACAACACAAAAATATGTTTTTGACTTATTGCACGCTAATTTGATCAAAATAATTTCTGTTTTTTTTTCTTCATATGTTGTTGAGGGGCCAAAGAAAGACTTCAGACTAAAAAAATCCAATAATCTTCCTATTTTTCTTGGATCAGGCTTTTAAGGGTTAAGTTTCCAGATATTTACGTATGGTTGATGTGGGATGCTGTTGTGATAAATCCGCCCTTTTCCCAGTAAATATTTTTGTTGCTGTAAAATTCCCTTTGAGCTTGAAATTGCAAAACATCTGTCCTTGTAAATTTCATGTGTTTTATAAATTTTGCTGCAAATAAAGTGTTTTTTTCAGATTAGCAAATTATTGTTTTCTGACTTTATTTACATCTGACATCTAAAGTGGGCTCATATTTAGTTGTATATTTAGCTGTGGCATAGCCTTATTTCTCAATCCATTTGAACTCCCCGCGCCCCCCCTTTTTTCTTTAGGAATCAAGGCTTTAATAGCTTTAAAATATGTTCCAAAAATCTATTTGCACGCTTCAGGAACTAACAATAGCCTTTGCTGAAGCAGAACAGATTTGCTGCAGGGTCAGCATAGTATTGACAGCACAATAGCAAAATGCACATCGTAATTGGACACACAACAGGGCACCAGGTTAAGGGTGGGGAGGTGATAAGAGCAGAGCATCACTGGAGAGGGGCAGTTTGAAAGGGATCTTTGCTCGCAGTCTTATCGTTCTTCAACAAACTAAGATAGCATTCACATTCTGAGAGGTATTATCATGGGATTCCAGATATAGAGGGATCTCATTTGAATAAATGTATGGCTGGGAATTCATTAGGAGCTCTAGAGAGAAGTGGAATAAAACAACAGTTACACAGAGGATTCATGACCTTGTTGTTGCATGAGCACAACAGCTGCTGCCTTATTTCGCTGAACTACATTTTCCTTTTGTAATCACGATAAGAAAAGAGGGAGTGGAGCGCTGTTGTGCAGGGTATTTAATCTAATTCAGTTACCACGGGTATTTTTTATTGTCAAACCATTCTCAAGGTGTTGCAGAGGGGGTGTGATTGAGTGTACACTCTGCATACATCTGGGCAAGTGGGAACTAAAAGCTTGCCGGTAGACTGTTTTCATTAATTCATGTCAACAGAATTGAGAAAAATAACACCAATCCATTCAGGGGTTTAAAAAGAAGAGGCCCACAGGTTTTGGAAATAAAACAAATCAACTTCATCATCTCCTTAAGTGAGATGATAGCAATTGCAAATTTAAAACCACAATTACTTTTAAATAAACTGGCATGGCGTTGCCAGACAGTAGCAGTCAATAGGCTACATAGCTAGTAAAGAAAAAGACGATAAAAAAAATTCTAGCTTTGAGTTTTGTTTAAAGATCTATTACTATTGTGACAAAGATGGGGTTTAACTATTAGTCTGAGAAAAACATTTAACATAGTATTATTTTTTCACAAGTCTGGGACTAAATAAAACATAGTAATAACCTGTTATTGCTAACAGGGTAGGGTTAGGGTAAAGAATAGCTAGTTAAGCTACCTGTTCAGAGACTCTGTTTTGATTAAATCAATCATAATTATCAATAGGTAGTAGATGTGAAATTTTTAAGCCTTACTAAGATCCAAAGTTGGTGTTTTTCTAATAGTGCTTTGTAGTGGTGATTGGCTATTTGGAGCCTTTTTTTCTAAACAGACAGGTCTAAGAGCATGTAAACACGCATAAATGAGGCAGATAATGTTCCTCTATTGTGACCTTTGTATTCTGTCAATCAAACAGAAACGCTGTGAGCAGCTGGCTCAGAAATCAAACAATTTCATATAAATATGTATTCACTTGGGCCAAGCTAAGGGCCCAGAGCATGTCTGACACGCAATGCTTTGTGCTGATTTATTGACAAAAATATCAAATGCTGAGTGATGGAGGCACGTTGAGAACATGACCTAAGGGGCAATAAGGTGCAAAACAAATAGAAACGTAAAGAACTATCTGCTTTGTGGACAAATTCCATTAGAGGCTGTGAATTTCTATTCTCGTTCAAATGCGCACCCTGTGTAATGCCTTGGTAATTTCCCCCTGCCTTTTCCTAAGAGCAGCACATGGAAAATGTGATAAATAATCAATTCCGCTGGCTACGTACATGCAGAGGCAGGTCTGGTGAGCAATGAAAAGTGAGAATATGGCTGTACATAACGATCAGAGCCAGAGATCAACCACAGGAGGGATAGAGAAACAACAACACAGTCAATGTGTCACCTAACATATAAAATAACCAGCATATAATTCAAATAAATAACTAAATCCTGACGTGCCACAAAATCTGCACTCTTTCTTTTCTGTAATATATAAAATCTGTCAAAATCAGGAAAATATGAAAACTACCCTGAAACATCTCCCAAATTTATTATTATGAATTTATGATTTACATACTCAATTAGAGCCTATTTAAATTAATGAGTGTTGGAATTAAGATATTTTTGGTAATAACATCAAATATACATCACCCTACCTGTTAAAACTTTAGTTAAATAAACAAAATAGGTTCAACAACGTGTTGCAGTTGTGAAGCTATCAGTAAAGACTCAATGTCAAGAACCACAATAATATTAAAAAAATTCATCACAAAAATACACTGACAAATTAACTAGTACAGATGACAAAGTTTTTTTTTTCATTTAAAATAAGTTCTGCATCTTAAGTTCTAGTTTTTGGTTAAAAAAAGTAAGAAAAAAAAGCCAGTGCTACATGAGTATATGCATAATTCACAAAATGTTTTCCAAATATATCATGTGTAATTAAAAAGTGTATTTCCAGAAGTGAGGTCTTTCTGGGATATATTACAATAAAATGGTGACCATGATGGGTGTCACGATTGAGTATTAAAGGACCATCCACAAACAACTAATCTGTCCAAGCAAAAATATTAGTTTATGACTGTGTTCAAAACTGTCAAAGAATGATCAAATTAAATAGCTGGCATCTACAGATTGCAATACTGAAAACATGAAAAGATTATGTTTCGGAGGAACTATCAATTTAATTAAGAAACAAAGCTTTTTTAATGACTTTAAAAAACTGACAACTTTCCTTATGATGCTTCATTAGTAGCTACTAAGCAAGGCAAAGCACTTAACAATATTTTTTCATCACAAAAATGTTACAACTTTTAGCACCCACTCCACCATGGTTCCATTGGGGCTGAGTTGGGCCAGCAGCAGATTGCCGGGCGCTGATTGGGCAAAAAAATCAAATACTTAGACGTGAACCGGGCCTATTTAAAAAAAAGTGACAACAACAAACATCTGATTTAATTATTTCTGTGATCATAAAGGCTGTAAATGCCTGATACCTGAACCCACATCACAGTTTATTGGTAAAGAACGCTGCAGAGATTGGATCAGGACAAAAGAAGCTTTATGTGCGGACCGTTTTGAATCTGGAAGTCAAATTTGCAGATGTCCGAAATTAGTATCAGTATTAGTAATGGAGAAAAGTTTCAGTGTTATGTTGAATTACCCACTTTGAAAGGGCTAAATGGTATAGGTTTCATTTACAGAGAGGTTACATTGCTCTTCTTGGCCTCTTTATTTCAAAGCCTCCCTCTCTGCCAAAGTGTTTAAGTTGCTGAAGTTGCCGACTGACAGGAACAAGGAGGCAAAACCCTGGATGAAAACGGAACCCATTAAGTTAGTTAATTATACAGCTTCGGATTGACAAGGCTTTTTTACACGAAAGACATGCTTTGCACTGCGTGTCTGCTGATGTGGGGCTATACCGCACAATGTTATAAAGGGAAAATGCCAAGAAGGCTAATATGGCCCTTTGGCTATGATTAAATCAAAATAATGATGCCTCCAATTTGACCAGTACAGCTTCAGTTTGGAGCAGCTCTAATGAGGGCCAGACTTTCTCTCAGCAGATTCATACTGAGAGCCGTTTTTTAACTGTTAAAGGGCGCATTGAAAAAAAAGAAAATATGCATCATGTGGACATCCGAAGTGACTTAAGCGACAGATCTGTTAGTTGGCTTAGGCTAGTCTTGGTCTAAAACATGTCCTTAAGCATGCTATACAAGTGTTGTACTGTACATTTTCCAACAGAGTTAAATTGCAGATCACCAGATGAGACTAAAACTGTCAAGCCTGCCCATCTAAATCTCCAGCTACAGCTTAAAATCTTGCAGCATTCGCTGAACCTCAAACGTTCAGGGAGAAATTATCTAACGGCACTATACCACCAGGTTGTTTAAGGTTTGAAATAATATCTAAAAAATCCTAAAACATGTTGGTGTTTATCTCGTAAGCTGGAAATTTGGAAATGGTCTTGAACAAAACTCCCTCCTTAAATTGCCTGTAATGTACATGGCTGTCAAATCATGATGAAAAAGGATGTTCTTATCTTTTTTAGTTTCCTAAGACTTCAAGAAATTGTAAAAAAACAAAAAATCTCTCCTTCTCTCCTACGCAAGTCTTGTTGGTTACTGAGTGTATTACTGTCTGCTACGGATTCCTGCAACACAAATTGCATGGAAAAATGGTGCTCGTACATCTAGGTGTGGCCTCAGACCTTAAATCTAAACCTTTTGCTGCCCCTTTCTGTCTGCTGAAGAATAATTTTCCCTCCGACTGAAATATGTCGGATTAATTTTCTGCGTGGTGCCCGCTCAGCGAGCATCCGTTTATAGTCAGATGCACATCCAATTCTTTCACTGACTTGACTAGCTGTGAATCTAATTATAAGCTGCTAAAATCAATAGTATCACATCAACAATGTTGAGTGTCATATGGTTGCCCTATTCCTACAAAAAAAACATTTATGTCCTCCTAAAGAATAATACCAATGTTAAAACTCCCATATACTGTATGAGAGGCATAAATAACAATGAGTGACTTAAAGAGTGCCAGATGTGTGTTGCACACCTTACCTCTCACTGGTCTTCAGGAGTTCACCTCTTCTCCACCAGGAGATTGAGGCCCTAGGGGAAGCACTGGGGCGGCACTCTAACACCACCTCTTGCCCCCTCTGGATCACTGTGGACTTCTTCACGGGCCGCTGGCTAAAGTCAGGTGGTGAGGCTGAGGAAGAGACCCATGCTGAGACCCTTTGTCTCACTTTGTGCAGGGGCAACAGCTGCATATCAGACGACATGTCGAGTGCACCACTCGCAATCATAGAAATGAATTTCGCCACCAGTCAGGATTTTTGTTTCAAGACATTTTGTAAAGGGGTAAAAAAAAAAGGTTGAGGAGGTAGTAAAATATGCATTCAAGTACTTATCTTAGAACATATTACTCACTTTGCCTGTTATTTTAAAACTTACCAACAACTTTAAGCTCAGCACTAGCATAGACAGATCCAAATTCATTTTCTGCCACACACTGATACATCCCAGAGTCTGACAGGCTGATTTTAGAGATGGTCAATCGGCCAGCTTCAACACGGACCCTCCTCTGGAAAATAAAACACAGTCTGATTATTTTGTTGCTGTGTCATCTTTAGGGCATCACATTGGTTGATAGAAATTCAAATTTTCCTTTGACCATTAAAGAATATGGGTAACTCTGGAATCTTACCGTCTCTGTTACTGGCTGACCGTTCTTCAACCATCTGTATGTAGGCCTGGGCTTTCCAATTGCTTTGCATTCCCACTGCAGGTTGGCATCAATTGCCATATAGGCATCTTTCAATGTTTGAGACCAGTGTAGATGCTCAACATCTGCAGAAAACACAGACTCATATGAGTAATTGTGGAGAAAAAGTGACTATGAAATCTCTTTTAAACTGAACATTTATCAAGTTCATGTTGAAAATTAGATATTTTACAATTTAATTCAAAATAATCTTGAATATAATGGCAGGAGCGTGTCTCAAAAATGGTCGGGGACAGAGGCAACCAGATGCTAAGCTGTACTAAAAACAAACAGCTGGAGGAGGATATTGCGGCTTTTATAACCCTAACTTCCCAGTATTACCTCATGACATTTATTAACAGATAAAATTGTGGATGTGTTACGAATCACTGGTTTGTTAGGCATCGAGTAGGAAAATAACAAATACTGTTTAATAAATGTAATTTAAAAAATCTGTTTGGGCTACTGGCTGAACAATAACAGCCCAGTAACAGCAATCCTAATCAAACTACAACTGAATCAAACACAATAAAGCAGAAACACATGCAGGAATGTAAAATGAAGACAGGAGAATTCAAAAAGAAGTCAGGATATGAATGGACTTTTGGGGAAATGAAAAAAAAGCAGGAGCCTTAAATGAAAACAGGATAAGGCAAAAAGAACTCATGAAATGAATGGACTTTGGGGGAAATAAAAAAGGATACTAGAATACGAAGGAAATCAGCGAGAAAAAAATGAATCTATAAATAATCTAAATGTCCTTAGCTAAAAACAACAACATGTCAAAAAAAGTGCAAACAGATGCCTGTATAAAAAGTAACAGAGATAATATACAAAGACAAAGACATTGACAAGTAAATTCTTGGATCGATGACACAAAGGTCAGTGACCAGTTTAGGTTGTACTTTATTATTTCTTTAGCATGTACCAAGATAGATGTTTTTTTTATCTCTTCCCTTATCATCTTTATTTCATCTGAAAATGTTGTGACTTTGGCTTTATTTGCTGGTATGATCCCTCAGACAGAACATTAGGAGAGGGGAAGCATGCCAAACATTCTAAAACATTTCTGACAGTCTGGTAGATGTCCGTCAGCCGCAGTATGGCAGCTGCTGCTTGACATGCGTGTGCACAAGCTTGACTGCTTCTTCAAGTTTCACCACACACCTTACACACAGAATCCAACTGCCTCCTGTCATCTTGGAGCAATGTCACAGACTTCGTTGTTTATTAAAATCTAATCTAAAAAAGCTGCAAAAGTCACTTGCAGCTTTGCAAGTCTAAAAACTTGCAATTACAGTTGGAAACACCCAGTCACACAAAGAAAGTAAGGTTCTTCTACAACATGAGAAGATTTGACAAACGAGAAACAAGTGTATACATTTAGTTAATATTTGCAGATTTGTCTATCAGGTCATTTGCACATTTAATATCGCCTAAACTTAATTACTGATTAGCATATTTGCATTAAACTTCTTCTCGTATTTTGTTTTTTTTTGTCGTGATGGACAGGCTGCCAACTGTTACCTGGTTCTTGATTTAAATAACTTTGAGTGGAGTTTTCTAAAAAATAATTTACTTGATTGAGATCCAGACAGTGCATCGGACTTCTGGCTGGATCAGACCACTCAGATAATTAAACTTTGAGACAGCCTGTAGTTACTTTGAACCACAGAAGTAGAACTGAAATAATTTGGAACTTGACTACTTTTTCAATCTGTGTTCAAAATGTTCATGATCCCCGCCATCTTAATCATGTCCAGCAAGGTAATAAAGCTTTGTTTGTACACTCCTCCTCTCCGTTGCATTTGGATTTCAAATTTTGTTTCTTTTCCTTTAAAAAAAAAAAAAAATCCCTTCTCCCTTAAACGCTGCACATCACTTTGAATTGCAATTAAATACCAAAGCTATTTGTCATCATTCACAGTTAATTTTTGTTCCATTGCTGACCTCTAAGTAAATGTTTTCAAAACAAGCAGGTGCATGAGGCTTGGCTCTGATGTTCCTCTCTTTTGATACTCAGGAACCGGTAAGACTGACTCACATATTTTGGTAGCTGTGAATCGATTATACAAAGGTTCTTGAATTATTGCTTACATTTTTGCCGCTGCTTTCAAAGGAACATGTTGAGCACTGGGGGATTTGACTTTTGAATATCACATTAGCTGAATTATGTTAAAATATTCTCATTGACACTGACAAAACATTAGTTTACATATATATCTTTACATAATAATTTGTTTTGGACCATAGTTTATTTCCCGATTCCGATTACCCCATTCAGGGACAGATAAAGCATTTTTCTGTTCAATTTTCTCTTTTGCCCTAGTTACTACTGAGAAAAGAAAAGAAAGGCTAGCTGACGTCTCCATTGAGTAGGAAAAGATACGAATGCTCTTTTCGAATGTTAAATCTTTCTTACTTTGGAACATGAGCTGCCCTTTGGCAACATTTCTTCCTCTGCTGTTTATTGCTTCGCATTCGTACACACCAGCATCCTCTGGGCGAAAGTATGGAATTTCGAGAACCCCGGCGGAGTGGTTGATTTTGATCTTGCCGGGCAGAGGATTTCCATCAGCTCTTCTCCATGAGATGGAAGGCACTGGGCTGCAGAGGTGGCACACAAAGGGTCATGCTGACTATGGGGGGTGCAGGCAGCGCTGTTAGTCGGGACAGAGGCAGCTGTTTCGCCAATTTAACAATGCGCTGTGTTGTCTCCGAGACTTACTTTCCTAAGGCGAAGCATTCCAGCTTCACTGACGAACCTTTGGAGACGTGAAGCTTGTCGGGAAAATGGACCTCGATCTTCGGCTCGTATTCACCCATCACTGGTACGCGAGGGACAAAAACAAATCACACAAAGCCACAGCACAAAACTGGAGCCCCTGAACGATGTGACTACCACAGCTGACACTGGCTGGGGTGGATGAGTTTGTCTTACACATATGTGTGCAAATATGAAGAAGCACACAAAAATAGTCCTGGTGGGGACTTGTGCGGGTGTCAGGCTTCTATCTGTTTGCGAACCTGTATGCATTCCAGACCCGTGGTACCACGTGCTGTCATGCAGATACAGAAGTTTCTCTTGCATCGAAGTGAAAAAAAAAAAAAAAAGAAAAAGAAAAACTGTGTGTGTAAGTTCAGTGCACAAAACAATCAGCAGGTGCCACTTACCATCCCGGCGCACCACCACTGGGGTTGGAGAGCTGAACACTGTGGTGTTGGTCATCATGTTCCTCACTGCACACGTATAATTCCCTGCGTCCGAGGCTTCCACTTTTGCTATATACAGGTTCCCCGTCCTCTGAGAGATGAAACGCCGAGCATCCTGCTGCAGGAAACCACTCTGTCCGTCGAAAACCCATGAATATTTAATCTCTGCAAAAGAAAGAAAAAGAAGGAGAGTTTTAAGAATCTTACAAACGCTTTATTTACAATTACAAATGAGAGACATATTATTGACTAACAAAGATAAATGCACTTCCGATAAAAAAAACCCCACAAATAATAATTAATAATAATAATATCATAATATTATATCATATAATTAATAATCCTTTGACTTCACATTAAAACAATTGAACATGTGCATCCAAAGGCTGAAGAACCCTGTCAGTCTCTCACATTCACTAAAAGCGCAGAACATCATCCCACGGTGTGAGCAAACGGGACACAGCAGAATTAAGCACACAAATAAGTGCTTTAGAGGCAATAGCTCCATGTAAAATATATGTATATATATAAAATAAAAGATTTTAATGAAGGAATATCATATGTCCGCCATCTTTACAAGTCTGTTTACATGTGTTCCACCTGCAACAACTTCTGCACCTGTGCTTGATTGAGATCTCACATGAATCAACATTGGGCCATAAGATAATGTCGTAACTTTAGTTCTGTGCAAGATCAATAAAAACAAAAGAAGACTGCCTAAACAACTGCTGATTTCCGCAGTCAGTGATGATATGATTGATGATTGGTAAAGAACAGGGGAAAACAGCCATTAACTGTACACACAGGTGGGCCAACTGTGAAAGACCCTGAAAGGGTGCCTTTTCAAGATAATAACACATATTCCCACTGCGTAAATCGTGTCTTTTTTCAGGACAGACAAATCATCTGGTTGACATGCCCCATAAAAAGTCAAGATCTCTTCCTGATTTTACAGTGGAAATTTCAAGACTGAAAGTCCTTGAAAAATCCATATCCAGCAAAGCTAGTCTGTTGATTGCAGATATAATTTAGTTGAAAACTGGCTGATTAAGAAAATTATTTCTTTTATTAGCAAATTTCTCAAAGACTTCAAGCCATTATAAAAAGTCAGGATGAGTATAAAAGTGCCATTTATGATTTGAGTTCATTATTATGTTTCCTTTTTTCCTTTATATCAACTGATGAAAAATTAAAAAGGCATTGATTCAGCAAATTTGTATTAGATTTTTTAAATTTGTAGTGTAAAAGTAGATTTAGGTATTCGCTACGATTTTACTAATATAAATTTCAAAAGAAAGGGAGTTGGTTTGAAATGATTTTTTCCATTATTTACAATTGTTTTAAAATGTTCATTTTTGAATAATGTACATGGTACAGAGTATTTTGATTGTCAATGGGAGAAACATATAAACTTATACTTTCCTCATCTTTTGCAGCTTAAAGACAAAGCTTATTGCATTATAGAAGTAGAAGCAGGAAATTCTTCTCGTTTTTTTGGTTTCAAATAAAATTCGACTTACATGTTTTACTGTGGCTTGTTTTATATAGCTAACAGTAAATGATGATTGTAGACTTCCAACTTTTATCACACTGATTAATAAGGGCGAATGTCAAAATGAAGTATGGAGGGGAAGGATGAGGATATCAGAGCAGAGGTGTAAAACTCCCACATTCAGAGGGGGGAAACAGAAAGGGAGACAAGTCTGCTGGGACTGCAGAATGAACTCAGCTATTAGTGCGGTAAAAGGCATTCTGCAGTCAGTCTTTTAGATTGGGCAGAGGCTAAAAAGTTCCCCTTGCTTCCTTGAGGGAAAACTGTGAATTAAAATCATTACAAGAAAAGAAAGTCAAGGCAGGAAGTGACAGCCCTTTCATGATTAGGGACTATCAGAGACCGGGCCTGCTTAAGAACTGCAGTCTCACAGCACCAGAGGACTCTCAGGCACATAATCCCACGTCCTCCAAGAGTTTAACTCTTGGAGTGTGCTCCTTTAAGGCCACTTACATATCGATTGCTTTGGAAAAGCTTTGGATGATTCGTCTCTTGAAAAGGTGCATCATTTATTTTCTCAAGTATTGCATCAACAAGCACTAAATAAGCTTTAAACATCATGCAAACCTCATGGTAGTAAGAGAAACACTGTTTTGTGTAATTTTCAATTTAAAAAACACCTCCAGCCAGACTCATCATGCTGTGCAAATCCCATCAAATGTGTGACTATGCTCTGCTTAAGAAAAAAAAAAAGGATGGAAGTTCAGCGGGAGGGAGGTTTGCAGGGCGAATTGCTAAAGTGTGGAATCCCACACGGCCTCAGGTTTTGACTGGAAACAGAGAGTGGAAAAGGCTTGGTACGCTGGCGTGAAATTGTGCTGGTGGGCACCGAACAGCTGCAGGAGTGCGACCACTTTGAGGGCCGGCTAATCAGCAGAGCACATGCACATGGGCCGAATCACAGCTGTGCCACATGATAAACACTCCCTCTGCCACAGCAGCCTTTATTACCCCACAGATAACCAACCAAAAACCAGAAAAAAAATATATACATATATATATAGATCATATGGCCTAGATAACAGACTTCAAAGTTACAGAATTATAGAAGAGTGCTGCCATCAACTATAGATGAAGGCAGGGGTCTGGAGAGGTGGGGTATTAGTTGATCATAAAAAAAGTTCCCCCTGTCAGGCAGATCAGGAAAAAGTGAGAGGAAACCAGTGTTTGGAAAAGAACAATTGCAGCAAAAGGAGGTGGTGCAGTATAAAAACAAGAGTCACGGTGGTGTTACAAGGAGATAATAAGCAGCAGAGTGAGGAATAATAAAAACTGCTGAGGCAAGCAGGAGTGAAAAACTACCGCAGACAGTGCAGGAGAGTTACGGTCGGAGCGCTATACCTCCGTGATGCGGTGGGGGGCTGCACAGCAGAACCACAGCTTGACCCTCCCTCACCGACACCGTCCTTCTCGGCTTCGTGCTGAAGTTCTGCAGAACTGTCGAATGAGACAGAAACCAACAATTTGTGAGGGCTCCGTAGGGGTTGTAACTTTTACCTGAAACATAGTATTACAGCGTACAGTCAGGTGAAAAATAAAACAATAAATTCTGAAGCTTTGCATACCGGCCATTGGAATTAAATACCTTGTGGAACCACCTGTGTAAGTCTGCCTTATCCTTTTGGAGGAATGTCAGCTGACTTTTCTATTAGGAGGTTAATTCAGGTCGTATGTACCCTTCAAAACAAGCCATATTTGTTCAGTCCTTTTCTAGTCGTAATGTCAGGAACGTCAACATTTAACATAATAACTGAGACCTGTACAGTCGGTGATGTCGCTTTTGGGTTTTTTTTTGTTGTTCTGAGCATTGGGTGAACTTGCTTGGAAGTCCACTCCTGGTAAAATTGGTAACCATGTTGTCTCTTTGAAGAGCTGGACAGAATATTGTTGGGAAATGCCCATAAAAATCTTCCCAGACGGATGGACAGCAACATGAGTAGGTAACCAAGTGCATTTGATCAGAGGTACCTGGCTGCTACTCTCCTATTATCTTTAGAATGTTAAGGCCAGCTGATCACCGTTTAATTTTGTTCTGATATGGGAAACCTTAACATTTGAAGACAGTGTATGGTATTTTTATTTTCACTTGTTTAGAAAATTAAACTCCCTGTGCACATTTGTTGTGTAGTTAAGTCAAATACAAATTCTCTTGCACCAACATTTGATCGGGCAAAAATGTCCTGATCGAGTTTTGGGGATTACTTTCATTTTTAATCAAGTGCTGCTGTGCAGCTTGTGAGAGTAAATAGCAAGAAGACATATGAATGTGAAAAGTCTAAGAAATACCAGAAGGTCTCAAGAGGGATCTAGCAAATATCAGGGCAGGTCAAATCAAAGCTCAAGCGATTAAAAAATCCCCCACGTCAAGGCAGTCCGTCTTTTCTTCATTTGATGTATTTAACTGGCGCCAAAACCAGCACGATTTGACAGGGCACAATTCACAGAAAATGAGTCAGTCAGCATGTAAAAAAAGAACAAGCTCTGTCATGATGCATCTTTCTAAAGATCCGATTGAGTAAGTGTTCAAAAAGCAATAAAGGCAAGCATACAGTATACTTTTCAAATTTACAGCAACATTTCTCTTATTACATTAGTTCAGATTCATCTGTCGCAGTGATATGAAGGAACTGAGTCAAAGCAAAAGATTCCACCGGATTTTGCTTTGTGAGGATATAAATCTTGGATATAACCCAGTGGTGAAGCCAGATAAATAGTGTAGGATCACCAGTTATTAGTGTTCTTCCTTTCAAAAAACAATAAATTGCAGTACCAAATTTCCTGCTGGTCAAGATAACTCTTATTAGATCTTTCAGTCTGGAGGAAAGTAGTGGAGCCAGGATACCTCACTGACATTTGTGACCATGCTGAGGGTGATCCGGCATTATTTCTTCTTCTTTTTTTTTTTGGGTAGAATTTATAGGAGCAAATAACATCTCCCATAAATCTCAACGGGCTAAATAACGTGACTGAACAAAGACCTTTTTCCCTTTCATTTGAACATTATCAGAGTCGATGGTGATTTGTCATCCCTTCATTTTTATAAAAAGAAGATCAGAAGAGAACACTAAATGTCCACCTTTTAATCCAGTAATAGTAAAGGTATAAAGTCATTTCTAAAGTTATAAATATACTATTTATTTTCTTGTGTTACAAAATAAAATATTGTACTGTACGGCATTATTTCGATACTCAAATTTCAGATATGATGAGTATAGTATCATATACAGTGGAGATTGTTATTAAAGGACATTTATGATTTTTTGTAAAAACATTTAACCAAATAATCAGGCAGGAGATGTTATAAATGGCACATCCAGTCACATAAACGGGAAAAGAAGAGAACAATGGTGTACATTTGGTTACAGAAATTACTTACATGCAAACTGGACGTCCGCCTCTCTGCTGACAACGGTCCCAAATGGGTTGGTGGCGATACACTGATACACACCTCCATGGTTGATGAAATGAGGGTTGTTGATCAGCAGGTTGCCCTCTACAAGGCTGTAGTTTAAGTCCGAGTCTGTGTTTATATCCCTGCCATCCATTTTCCACCTGTGGACAAAGTCAACCACATTAAAAAAGAATCTAACTTTATAATTCAAATTAGGTTCATGCCACTGGAGTCCCACATTAGCTCTCAGATAATTAAAGCGCAGTCAGAGCACTCACCTATAATGTGGAGGTGGGTTTCCCTTTGCTTTGCAATTAATAAACACCAGCTTATCACCAGAGCTCATTGGGAAAATACTGTCACTCGGCTCCTGTGTGAAGACAGGACCATGACGAGCATTTTCTGTGTAGAGTAAAAAAGAAAGACACAAACATAAGCTACACAATGACACAATGAAACTGACGCTGCATTCATGCGAAGGAAATCAATCAGCACTCAGGAAACTGTGTGTAACCTCGACCCGTATTATAATAATTAGCTTCCAGCATGGCTGTTTGAGCAGATTCTGCGTTCACTAAACCTTCTTGTGCACGTGTCATGAGACAGATACCTCAGTGATGAGAGAGCAATTAACAGGAGATAACCCTGTATCATAATGGCCAGCTGGCACATTGTGTGCAGTCTCCGACTCAGCCATGAAATTGTCTTCTATCTCTGCCCCCACTGACAGAATGTTTTTGCTAATGGAAGTCATTTTATTAGCGGAAATGCTGAAGTAGTGTATACTCCAAGTTTAGTTTGTAAACTCCAAAGTAATTGTGGTTTGCAGTTACTTCCCCAATAATAATCTATTTTCAAGTTAGAAAAAAAGGCACAATTAAAAGAAAGATATGAATTCCCCCCATTTATAAGGGCGCAATTCTAATCTTGTGAATAAAAACATCTGAATGGTTAAGAAAAAATAACTTGATTTCTTCAGTTTTATGTCATTTTGACAAAGCTTATAGTTAGGGATGGCCCAACTGACCCTGGAACATCCCTTAGTTACTATTATGGCCCTCTTTTCTGTCCACAAAAACCCAAGCTAAGCGAGGTAGTTCGAGTCTGGTTCTTCCTGTTAAAAGGGAGTGTTTTTCGCTCCACCAACACCTCATGCAAGATCGGGATGGGATCCTGGTTAAGGTCATTTTTTATATAATCTGTTGTCTTTTTTTAATTAGCTCTGTGTAAATGGCGGATAATTGTATTCCATGGATTTGGATACCAATTAGCTTGCATTGGTGTCTTTGACGTGCCTCAAGATGAAATTTGTCGTGATTTGGTGCCTTGTGAGGAATATCCAATTTATTTGAATTTTTTTAATTCCATATTGTAAAATGGAATATCTTTCTTTTTTTAGCTGGGCGACCCAACAAACAACAAGCAACAGAAGGCTGGAAGAAAAGCGTCTTTAAACTCAACACTACCAGTGACTGGAGCAACAGCGGACCTACACAACAGTGAACTACAGCTCGGAGCCAAGAGAACTCTGAAGGGGCTTGAGGAAAAAAAAAATCTCTTCAGCTCTGGTAAAGCCCAGTCTTAAACACAAAAGAACATCTGTTAAGACACCATAGGATAGCAGTTCACAGATGCTGTTCACAGAAGTTTGAGGCAGATCTGCCAGGAAGCACGGGGGTAAACCACATATCTATCTGAGGAAACCTTTAGAGACTTAATAAAAGTGGAAGTTGCTAGGAACTCCTCATAACTATGAAACGATCGTGTACATCCATTCACTTTATGAATTTATTCCCTCAATTGGATGTGTAAAAAAACTGAAGGTCATATGACTAACTTGTGAAGCTATTGAATAAAATGAAAACACGGGCAGAAATGGGTCCACACTGTGATACATGTCCGAAATCATTGGAAAGATGGACAAGGAGCCCAGCTCCATAGTGGAGCTATCCTTCATTTTATAATTATTTTAAAGCAAGCAGGATAGCTTCAGTATGATGCTCGGTTCTGGCTGTAATTTAATTAGCACAGAGGCTGTAAAACTGACATCTACATGCGTGTTGTTTGGGCATGTGTTGTTAAGCTTGTTGTTTTGGTTGGCTCCAGCCAAACTATCAATGCACGGGACTCATTAGCTGATGGTGCATTAATTACACCAGTGAAATCTAGAAGCACACACACAGGCTCTGGCTCTCTGATGCCACTTGTCCCACACAGGTGCTGTTCTTGACAAAACTACTTACTTTTTCTTGAGATGAGGCGTGCTCTATTATTATTTTTTTCCCTTTGATTCCATATACCTCTAACCTTGACGAGGACAAACAGTGCTCCCTCCCACATCATCATCATCCTCATCATCCTAATGAGAGTGGGAGTCTTTGCCTCAGGTAAGGGCCTTGTTTCTCCTGCCTCTGAGGGAGGTGCTTTGTATTCTTCCCTGTTTGCGGTGTCCTCTAAATTAAACAAATTAATGAACCTTTAATAGCTGGGCTATTGCACCTGGGAAAAGGCTGGTCGGTTTGTGTGTGTGCTTGAGAACATGCCTGCCTCGTAAACACACTGACTACACTGACCGTAGGTGCACATGAACACGCTTGCATTTGAAGAACGCTTAATGAGGCTGCATGGGAACGCATGCAAATGTAAGCTCAACAGAAGGTGTGCAGTACATACGCGCAGTATAGTATGAACAGCCATCTGCATGAGCCTCCGTTTTCTGGTTTGCACCCATGCTCTTCATAATATACCCAAGTGGAAATGCTGACTTTGGACTAGATGCTAAATCTAAGGAACGCGAAGCATAAATAACAACCATGAGACCCCCACTCCAAATGCCTTCGAAATTTCACAGTATTTGTGGGGTGACTTTTAAACAGCTTGCTTGAGCTGCGGATACACTATATCCATCGAATAAGACTGTTAGCAGTAAATTTCCAGGGCTGCACAAGTTATGTAACCAGATGTAAAGTGAGAGCTCTCGGTAAGATTTTAATGCCCGAACTGTAACTCACGCAGCTATTGGAAACTAGAGCCTAATGTCACTCTATTCTAACTACAGAGGATGTCAGCAAAGCCTTGAGTCTGTGTTGTTGATGAGGCAGTACGGAATAAATAAGCGCAAAGGAAAAGCTTATTGTCAATTTGTTAGTGTGTCCACACTGCACGCAGCGTCAGCAGCTGGAAATAAATAAAAAAAATTGTGTAATAAAACTAGGGATGTAAAAAGCTGTGTGTATACTCTGCGATATGTTTGTCCCTTTATAAGTCAAACATAGCTATGAAACTATGAATCAGCAGTGGAACATGCACTTTGTGAATATAAGGGCTCCCTCCTTGAGTTACAGTTTGTGTCCTGAAAAAACCAACAACTTGTATCTACAATGTTTTCACTTCCTCTTTGTTATTCAGATTGAATGAGTGTGTTAATCTGGTTTATCTCATACCTCAATACTCTATCAGATCACACTGCTAGTTCTGCTTATTCGAACCATTCTACAACGAATTCTGTACAGTATATCCAAAGCTTGTAAAAATGAATTGATACATTAGTTAGAACTGGAGTGTGATTCTTCAAGAATCAAATCATATAATGTTCCAAGGTGAAGCATCTGAATATACTACAGTATTTACTTTCTGATGCTTTCAGTGAGGGTTCTGAAACTCAACGAGAAATGTCCTAAAGTTAATTTTGTAGAAAATAAATTAAACTTAAACAATAGGTCCAAATTTCAAACTCTTTTTTGAGATCTCCTCTGACATATCCTCTTTAAATATTACATACAGTAGTTGCATGGAATCGTGCAGTATGAAATACTGGAACATTGGCTCATAGCCATTTAAGCAGCATCTTTCTTTTCTTACACTGTATATTATTACACAGTCAGGGAAATACAAAAAAAGGAAAATGTTACAGCTAAAAGAAACAGAGAGAAGAGGCCTGCAGAATATTGACAAAAGGCGCACAACATCAGGTTACATCATACTAATGACACAGGTGCAGATAAGGACCATGTGATGAGAAGCTTTCTACATCAAGCCTGGAAAAAGGTTCAATTTGTATTACGGTTGATTATCTTCTGACTTGCTTCATTATTTTTTATTTAATACATCCTTCCGATTCAGCTGACAGGCCTCCTTCCTAATATTACTTTTTCACAACTAATCTCTGAATCCTCCTTTTGTACTTGATCAGTTTCCTTTTCAAAGTCAATTCAAAACTACTTTGTTTGGCAAATAAAGGGGCAAATACAGGGGCAAATAAAGGGGCAAATAAAGGGGCAAATGTAAACTACAAAGTTACACATGAGAAGAACTACATGAAAATACAATTTGATCAGTACATACAGTACGTGACTCCGTTTTTATGGTTTGAGGTAGAGGAATATCTATAGGAAATTCTGTCAAGTTTCCTACTGTGTTCATGCAGGCCACAAAGACTTTCTGAAAGCATTAAGGGTAGTCTCAGCTCAGTTCTTTAAAAAAAAAAAATCAGAAACGGAATTTATTAACAGCGTCAAATCAGCAAGCATGTCAGTCAATCTCAGTAGTAACTTGTGACACTTTGATATGACAAATTCCAAAGACTAAACCTCCTTAATCCAAAAGTCTGACCCCGTGGTTCAGAAATGCTTTTCTAAGCCTTCCAATGCTAAATGGAAATCAGATCATAGCTTTTTTGCAAATTCTTCCCTAAAACTCAGGAGTAGACATAAAATACATCCAAAACCTATTAAATTATTATTCCTTCATAAGGCTTCTAACATCCCCACTTGTAATAAAATGATAAGGTAAACATGTCTGAGAAAAAGGCAAATCTGCCCTGTGAAAGACGTATGCATATCAGGTGTGTCATGAAAGGCGATTTGTCTTGGAATCTTACCAGCGAGGCACCCTGTGAGTGACAGAAGGATTAACAGTTCCCATGGCAACAACATCTTCATTTTCCAAGGTCAAAGATTCTCCTTCCCATCCAGTTTCTGGAGAGTGGAGAATTCTTCCTGGGCAAACACTCCTCTGTTTGGCACTGGAGGAAAAAGAGAGCATGTGAGCGCTGTGGACCTGTGGAGATGCAGTCTGTATCAATCCTCCTCGATTTTTTTTTTTTCTAAGAAGACTTGAGCATGTGGAAAATCAGTGAACCATTAATAATTCATTTAAGTGGGTAAGCAGAGCCTAAATCCTATGCTGTAGGCTGAGATAACAGCTGATACCAGGGCAGCTGATAAATTTGCTGTATACTGTACGTACTGTCGATACACAATATATACAAACATGCAAGCCAAAGTACAAAAAAACAAAAAACTGAAACAGTAACCAATGAGGAAAGCACCCATACAAAGGTTGCAATATCTAAAAAACTGTGAGCTGAATGTATTTACTCTGGTTAAGAGTTCAGTATCCATCATAAGGATAACTAAAAACCTGAAGAAGAAAAAAGTGCCATCAATAAAAAACCAAGGCCAAGAAAAAACAACAACTTTTTTTTTTGCTTTTGGAAAATCCACTTTTCTGATTAGAAAGCTGGAGGCAGCACTTGTGTCTTCGACAGTTGTCGCTGCACAATTTATACAGAACATCCATGCAAAAACACATCCTAATATATGAACCATGTCGCACTTGTGTGCTGCTTGAAGCTGTCTATAACAGAACTGATCCAGTAAAAAATCTAAAACACAGTGTTAACTTGAACCATTCTGAAAGTTTTGGGATTGGGAGCATAGTCTTCTATCATTTTACACTTTTGAGTAGATTTAAGTTTACCTACAAAACTTGTTCTCAACTAAGATGAATGGGAGGGTAAAAAAAAGCTTTCAATAAGTGTTGAATCCATCTCGACTTCTCAGTCCATAAAAACAGGAATAACAATGGATGCTGGATCAATGCATATTTTTCAGATTTTACCGCTAATATGACAATGACAAAAAAACCTTCAACCTTCAGCTGATTCAACCTTTTCTTTTACTCTTTGGCTTCATTGTTAAAGCCGTCATTAGCACCAAGACAGAAGCACTGTTCTGGGGGACAATGGAAAGGAGCATATCATTTATCAGGTCACACCCAGTAGGAGTTCTTCTGAAGTCAAAGATTGCTTCAGATGTGGTAGATGTGAAATTCAACAGTTTACAGTAACATGCTAACTAAATCTAAATGAAACACCAGGTTACACTTTTGTAAAATAGGTAAAACAACAAGAAATGTATGCTAAAAGAGAGATGAATCTGTTATCTGTTATTGGGTAGTGTGTGTCATTACTCCCTTGTAGGAGATGATAATGTGTCAGAGGACATGATGGAAAAGTCAGGTTTTAAAATTTTACAGTTCCAAGAGTTGTAAGGTAGATTAAGTTTCCTTACTTACTCCAAATCAGTATGTATGCTATTAATGCTGCCCTGTCTTTTTATCACTTTAAAAGTGAATGATAAAAGTGTTTTGATTGAGGCGCACTTCAGGTATTGCGCAATCATCTACAAGATTTATATTCATACATATACATTATTAATATCAGACAGGTAATAATTACCATGGAAATCAATAGACACTTTGCATATTTGTGTCATGACCACGGCATGTATTTAGAGCTGACTGAGCTTTGACATAAAATTGAGTCTCACCTGGTACATTGCAGATGTCTGGCACCGAGGGTGTTAAAGTACTTTATTTGCATCTTTAAGCTTTGAGTAACACCTACTGATGCAACAGTGGCTGCAGACTGTGTTGATAAGGAGCCAGATCAGCGAGCCGGGCTACAAAAACATGTTATTCTTAGAACAGCGGTATACACCTGCCCTTTTAGCTTGCTATTCCTCTACAGTGGAGCTCTAACTGCACATATTCAAATAATTTGGATCCACTTGTTTGGTTAAAAAAGAAAGAAAACTATAAGAAATGTTGATCCTAAAGAAAAGCGGGTTATAATCTACTTAAATAAATGAGTCATTTGAGTTTTATCAAGACTCCAGCAACTCTAAATGTAAAAATTCTATAAAATATATATTTTTTCAAAGCCTTAAAAGAATTCAATGATAGTTTGGTTGTCAGATTTACCAGCACCTGATTTTGTTCTGCTCTTTTTTGTCCTGTACTTTCTCAGTTCCTGTAGCAAATGGGGTCAGACAGACGCACTTGGCAACACAGGACAAAACACCCATCACGAATCAAGAGATGGGGAGCTTTACTTGGGCCATGAAGAACATTTGTTCTGCTCTACATTATTCATTCTAAGAGGGCTCAATACAGATCTTCCATGCTTCATCTTTTCAGTCATCATTATTGATTTGGTTTCTACTTTTTTGACCTTTTCTGCCTTTTTGTTTGTCATCCTACCCACAGTCTTGTCACAAGTCTCAATCACACATGCAAGAGCTAAACGATTTGCCAGATGTCCTCCCTTATGAGACTGACTGAGTTGACATATTTTGCTCTTCCACAGAAAACCAATAAGGAGACTTTATCCATAAAACAATAAGAGACCAAATCTTTCATCTTACTTGGATGAAAGAGAGGAAAGGTTTGCTTCTCTACTAAGATGAGTCCTATGCAATCCCTGTTCTTTTCAGTCTGAGATAATTACAGGTTGATTAAGGTGCTGCTTGATGAGATTCTAAATGAAAGACATCAGACTACTCATGTTGATTACAGTTAGACGAAAGGCTTTTATTTCAGGCTCTAAGAAATACCGAATCAATGTGAAATGTTTTCCAGACATGGTGTCAAAATACCTATCTGTAATCAATGCTCTTATGGGCTGCCACCTTTAAGTAATTTCTAATCAATATGGTTTAACATTTAGATGCACTGACTAAGCACTATGTGAGGAGAGGAGCTTTGAACAAGCAGAACAAGACTAAATGGAACAATGATATACAAATGAATATGGCTATGATTTTACTTTTAAGAGCTTGGATACGTTGGGCTCAAGAGAAGATAGCAGTTGTATTTTGTTTAATTTGGCCAGTTTTCACTAGTTTACAGTAGTTATGTTATAGATACCCCATCAATCAGTTGCAACATTTTCCGTTCAGAGGTATGTGCAACAATATGACAAATAAACCAGGTTGGATTCATGAGTGTTTGGTTAGTCACTTCAGTAATTATCTGAAAGAAATTGTTATTGTATGATGTGATTTTAAGTCACTTAAGCAAATGGGTACATTTTTTATCCATGCTGTGCGTTAAAAGGGGTGTGAATATATTATGCATCAAAGAATATGCAACAGTAAGTGTTTATGATGACGCAACAGCAGGTGAAAGCAATAACCCTGTCTACATTATAGCTAACATTTACTTTACATGAGTAAAGGATTTTGTGGCTTGTTACATGTCAGGACCTGACAATCCTGCCATCTTTTGAGAGAAAACATTTATATTGAATTAGGCATACTGTATTAACAAATAAGATTTACAAAAATTTTTGTTGAAAGAGTTATTTGTTCATCACCACAGCATAATCAGATCTAAGAGCTAATTTATCACATGATGCCTTTGTATATTTCCATGTCTGTCAATCGTATAAATATTACATGTACATAGTACAATATAAGGGTAATCAATTATGAATGGGAATAGTATGGGTAATTAGTGGATTGTGAGGATATGGGACCCATTACGGTCCATTCAAGAGGTTTACTAACAAGCCCCTGCAGCTTTAAGTCATTAGCAGACTTTCTCAGCCCGGTGATTGATAATTGTGTTGGCTGTGGTCAGCTATCCAAGTCCACTTTAAAGCAGATCCACTCCATTTTGTCTGCTCTCACTCAGAGATCTCTTGTTTTTTGGCCTTTAAAGTCAGACTAAAACATCGCATTTAGCCATACATGGCGGCCATTGATGAACCAGGCTGATGTACACAGACCACGGTACTAAAAATGTAGGAGCCTGGGCCCACATGCCACCACTTTTACTGATGCGTGAACCCCCGGCAGTTTGGGAAACATCTTTTTATGTCACGGTCTGGAAATATGAAGAAGTTGCTTGCAATCTAAATGACTAATTTAGATATCCTAGAAAAAATACTATGGTGATAATTCATTTGTCCCAAGATGCTTGGTCACGGGTGTTAGATATACCAAATGGGATGACGCCAAGCTAATGGTGCCTGGAAGGGAAACTATATGTCAGGGATAATCCCTACTACTGTAACACCCAGGTGGAGATAATACTCTTCCCTTGGCTTTTTTCTCTGCTTTGAAATGTTAAGATAGCTATGGGAAAATGCTTAAACAAGGGTAGATATTGACTGCGATAAATACGAGTCTTCAAACTGAAGCATTGACCGCTTGAGCGTTTAGTGAAAATTAGCCGCCCAATCTGTAGCAGCCAAACTAGGCTAAGAATAAAAGGGGAGCAGAGGGTGTCCTGGGACTCTGGTGAGCCATGTTCCACTTCATTACACTCCGGGTAATTGGTTAAACATGTGACTACAGAAATTAACTTCAGCTGCCTTGTGAGAGGTAATTAAGACCCCCCTAACACACACTTTTTTCCCTTTTTTTTTTGGTGACAGGGGATTCAAAGATGAATGCAACTTTCAACAGTGAACAGAGCCCCATAAAGACGTCAATCTGACACTGCATTTTGATGACGCACAGCACCAACAGCATTGAAACACATAATTGTTCCAAAAGCTAATGCTTATTGTTAAAATATGTCTTCCCAGATTTGCCATAAGAAATAAAAAACAACAGAAAACTCCTGACCTCATATTATGGTCCATGTTACAATCCATTGTTTGTATTACAGTAGTTTTGTTCAATCATTTGGGATAGACTGATTAGTTAATTCTGCATGGTGGCCCTTTTCAGGTCCCCTATTGCCATACCAATCAGGAAGGCAGTTATTGATATTAAAAAACAATTGGTCCCTGTGTTCAGGGGTCCACTGATGTATTGCATGTGTTTAGATTCTTTGAAATGTAGCAGTGTTAACTAGTTGTGTGTGAGAGGGAACTTTGTGTTTACAATTAACTAGTCTCTTGTTTTTAGATTAAGGATAATATGTGAATTTATATTTGGTTTCCCTTTACATTCTATATTCAAGAGTACTTTGTTATAAAGAAGAGTTCATGGTGTCAAAAGAAAGCCCAGTCACCACTATCTTGTTAAGAGTTAGCGTGAAGTGTTTTGGATATCATGCTGTGTTTTATTTTTGCTGTACATTCTGAGCAATACTCTCCACTTTGGCCAAGGACATTATCCAAGAAATTTTGTGGTTTAGCAGGGCTGACCTGTTATTTTTAGAGAGGACTGTTCTAAACAAGCCATTCTTACTCCAAATTTTACATTCAACATGCTAACTTAAGCCTTACCCTGTAGAGTCTGAGAAGTGCTTCTTGGGGTTCTTGCTATTTCGTTGAGCACTGTGATATCTGACCTCGGGGCGACTAGATATGTGTTGTATGTTGTAAAATTGTATTCTTAATCTTTCTTACTGTAGAATCATGGTCTCAAAAAAGTTTGAAAATGGTCTCAGAGCTTCTATCAGACTTATTCAATCTTCAGATCAACAAATTGACAAACTTGAATACAGGTTTGCCCTCTTAATTCCAATTGAAGTAGTCCAATTAAACACTTATTAAAAAGTATTTTATCTTACATACCACTAATATATTTTGACGTATCTTAATGAATGATAATATCATGTAATATATCATTTCTTCTGTTTCTCTGAGGTGTTATAACATAAAACCTTCTTTATCTGGTCCTGACTAAGTGACTTTCATCTAATTTCACATCCCTACTATTTATTCAGGATACATCATTTCATTTTTATCATATCTTATTAATAAAATCAGTACTGTTCATTTATACGGTATAGTAAGAATTTGTCCTGGACAGCAACCCTGCTTTTTTTTTAAACACATTCTCACGTTGGAAGACAGTGGTGTTGTCAGAATTCTTCATCTCCCAGACAATGATTAGTAATTAAAAC